ATTTTGACAAAAGCGCCAAGAACACACAATGGGGAAAAGATGGTCTCTTCAATAAATAGTGTAGGGGCAACTGGATCGCCACATGCAGAAAAGTGGAATTAGACCCTCATCTCTCGCCACACAAAACTTCACTCAAAATAGACTAACGACTTCAACGTAAGACCTGAAACTATAAAACTATTAGAAGAAAACATAGAGGGAAATCTACGTGACATTGGTGTGGGCAATTAGTTTTTGGATATGACTCCAAAAGCGTAGGATACAAAAGCAAAAATAGACTCAAGGGATTTCAACAAACTAGAAAACCCTTGACCAGCCAAGGAAGCAATCAACAGAGTGAAGAGACAAACTATGGAATGGGAGAAAAATATCTGTAAACCATTCATTTCATAAGGGGTTAATACTCAAATGTATAAAGAACCCAATCAACTCAATAGTAAGATAACAAATAAACTGAATTTTAAAATGGGCAAAGTATCTGAATAGACATTTCTGAAATGAGGATACACAAATGGCCAATGAGTATATACAAAATGCTCCACACCTCTAACCACCATAAAAATGCAAGTCAAACCACAGCATGATATCACCTCACACCTGTTAGAGGCCATTATCAGAAAGAGAAAGACAACAAGTGTTGGAGGGAAAGTGTGGAAAGGGAACACTTGCACGCTGTTGGTGGGAAAGCAAATTCGTACAGCCATTGTGGAGAGCAGTACGGAGGTGCTTCAAAAATTTGAAATTTAAACCACCATATAATCAGCATTCCCACAAGTGGGTATCTATACAAAGGAAATGGAATCTGTTATGCTCAAGAACTATCTGTACTCTCATGCTCATTGCAGCATTATTCACAATAGCCAAGATATGGAACCAACATAAATGTCCACCAGTGGATGAATGGATAAGAAAATGTGGCATACATACACAACAGAATGCTATACAACCTTAAAAGGAAGGAAAATCGATCATTTGAAACAACATGAATGAGCCTGGAGGACATTGTGTTAAGTGAAATAAACCAGGCACAGAGAGACAAATACTGCACAATTTACCTTATACGTGAAATCTTTAAAAAGCTGAACTCATAGAAGTAGAGAGTAGAATGGTGCTTACCCAGGGCTTGCAGGGAGGCAGACTATAGGGAAATGCTGGTCAAAAGATACAAAAAATTCACTTAGACAGGACGGATTCTAAAAAATCAAAGAAAAGTGGCCATATAGCCATCATTCGATAATGGGGGGTTGAGGTCATTTTGTTAAAAGGCCACATGGAATTGAAGATATCAGAACCATTATCTCTGGGAGAAGCAGTCCTCCACAGGAAGAATCACATGGTGTTTGTGAGGTTCTAGCTTCTCACCCCAGTGGTGCTTTGGGAGCTGCAATACCCTCTCAGGATCCTGGGTGCTGGTTGGTGCCATTCAGTGTCCTGAAGAAATGATTTCCTCAAAGGGAAATGAGCTCGTGTTTTCCAGAGTGAAAGTTCCTCCCTGGACACTGGGATCTGCAGCAGCTTTGAGTGGCTAAATGTCTTTCTTTGACTCACTGGGTAGCGTGGAGTGGGGAGTGCCCGCAGGATGTAGGGTCTCTCCAACATCATCCCAGAATCAGCCTGTGTTTCCCAGGCTCATTCCCAAGTAGGTGAGGGAGGCCAGGTGGGGATGGGTGCAGGTTCTTGGGGCTTCCTTCCAGTGTGAGAATCAGGGCACAACTTTATGACCCCTCTAAGCTTTAGTTTTCTTATTCTGTGAAGAGGAATGAGAAGAAACTGGTTCTGACTCATAAAACCTGCTGATGCTACACTGACAGGGTCTCAGCAAATAGACATGGATATAAAGATGAATGGTGCCTGATGCTGCCTTGGAGTGTATGAGGAGCAGGGAACCACGTGGTGCTGATGTCTGCCTATGACTGAGCCATGCCTCCCTTGCAGATGCGAATCCCTGCAGGGCTGGGAAGACAAACAACATTCTTTTATGAGTGTTCTTTTCAAGGCCCAAAGAGAAGGCGGATTCTGCCTCAAGAGTGAGAGTGGCTGCTCCACTCCACCCAACAGGATAGAGGTTGAAGGCAGTTGAAGTGATTCTAAAAAACCAAACTTTTATTTGGAATAGGAAGGACATTTTTTAGAAACCAAAAATACATACTCTGTGCAGTGATTCTCAGCTGCTTACCATGTGATTCACTTGCCTGAAAAAATAAGTTAATCTGTTTGATTTCTTTATTTATATCAGATAAAAATGTATATGCCACTTATTTTTAACTCAACAATATATCACGTTCATTCCTTTATGGCAAGACATACATAGATCTATGTTACCCTTTTTAAAACATTACTTATATATGTACTTATTTAATTGATGGTAAAAATTATATATATGTGATGTAAAATATGATGCTTGTGCAATGGCTAAATCAAGCTATTTAACATTTACATTAGCTCACACATATTTTTGTGATAAGAGCACTCAAAATCTACTGTCTTGGCAATTTACAAGTACATAATATACTCTTATTAACTGTAGATAACTAATGATCTGTCTACAGTCACCATCATGGTACGGTCACCATGATGTACAACAGATCTCTGGAACTTGTTCCTCCTGGCTGTGATGACTACATAGGATTTCTTCATGTGGACAGACCTATTGGTAGGCACTCAGCCTATCTCCAGGAGTATAATTTTTTTCCAATTATAGATTTGAACAGTGATATACAAACATTCTCCCATATTTGTATTGCTGTTGCTCTAGATTCTTGGGGAAATTGCTCCACCAATTAGTATATTCTTTAAAACTTCTGTAAATATTTCCAAATTATTCTCCAAAATATCTGACCTAAACAACACTCACAGTGTGGGTCTTCCCCTCCTCCTCCCATCTTAGCCAATCCTGGATGGTTCAGTGCAGAATTTACAGATTCAAATTCTTACAGGGATTTATCTAAGGTAGAAGTCAATTCATTATGAAAGTTGTTACCTTTGTCTTCAGTATTAAAAAAAATGGTTTAGCACCATCTGTAATGATGTCTAGAGGATAATCGATTTATAAAAATAAAATCATGTGACAGTACACTTTTTCCCAAGGGTGGCCAGATGCTAATCAAAGGAAAATATCGCTCCTTTTCTGCCTTATCTCTCCGTGTTATACTATATGTAGGTTCAATGAAAACAAATTTTGAATGTTACCCTCCAGTCACATGATTGTTCTTTCCAAATGCCTAAACGTGATTGGTTATTTATTGTTAAAACCCCAGTGTTTTAGTTCATAAATCAGATTATTGAGCAATAACTCCACAACTGCAGGCAGTAATTAGGGGCATGAGAAGATTACATCGTTGCCATATGTGTATTACCCAAAACATTGACCCTTTCCCAGTGCTTGAGATGACAACTGCAGGGAACTGAGGGGGCTTGGGGGATGAGGGGGTTGGGGTCAACACGAAGGGGTGCAATGGCAGCAGCAAAAAGTCCCAGAAGCCATCTCTCTTGCAGGTCTCTAGGATCATAAGCATCTGCCTATCATAGCTGAGGATGAGGCATGAGAGGCCATGCAGCCCTGACCCAAATATGTGCACTGGGGTAAGAGGGAACTGAGGCAAGAGGGTAAAAATGGAAAGTTTGTGAGTGGTGAACAGTTGAATAAGGTAAGAGAAGGCAATGGATCCTTGAAAACTTGACACTAAACTGGTCTGATATATTCTCCGCCTTGTGAATGAGTCCTAGCACTAAAAAGTCTTTAGGTGGGGATTCATAATCTCGTATTCACAGACCTCTTGGATTCATGGAAAGATTTCATAAAGCCTGTATTCATCAGCATTCTCCAGAGAAACAGAAAAAACAGGAAGTAGATAAAGGAAGAGAGATATGGTTACAGGTAAATGAATTATTAGGAATTGGTGGCCGGGCGCGGTGGCTCATGTCTGTAATACCAGCACTTTGGGAGGCTGAGGCGGGCGGAACACGAGGTCAGGAGATTGAGACCATCCTGGCCAACTTGGTGAAACCCCGTCTCTACTAAAAATACAAAAAATTAACCAGGCATGGTGGAGGCGCCTATAGTCCCAGACACTCGGGATGCTGAGGCAGGAGAATCGCTTGAACCCTGGAGGCAGAGGTTGTAGTGAGCTGAGATCACGTGACTGCACTCCAGCCTGGGCGACAAAACAAGACTCTGTCTCAAAAGAAAAAAAAGAAAAGAATTGGCTCACATGATTATGGAAGTTCAGAAGTCCTAAGATGTGAAGTTGGCCAGATAGACACCCTGGCAAGCCAATGGTATAGTTCTAGTCTGAAAGCTGACAGTCTCAAGTCCCAAGAAGAGCAATGTCCCAGCTCACAATCAGCAAAAGGAATCTCTTCTTATTCACGGAAGGGTCAGCATTTTTTATTCATTAGGCCTTTCACTGATCAGATGAGGTCACCCATGCTAAGCAGAGCAATCTGCTTTCCTCAGTTTACTGATTCAAATGTCAATGTCATCCAAAAACACCTTCACAGACACACTTAGAATAAAGTTGGACCACATATCTGGATGCCCCAAGGACTAGTCAAGTTGACACATAAAATTAACCATTACAATTCAATTCTACCCCTTGTCAACTTGGTGCCCATATGCATCTCCTGAAACCATAGTCAATCTTCAAAGAAAGATAATCAGAAGGCCATGATTCTGATTAACCTGATACACACAACTGACAATGCACTAACTGTTTTCCTAGAAGACAAGGTAAGGTATTTGAATGATGCTTCCTCTTCTCTTTGATACCATGTAGCTTAAACACTAAGATATGAAATAAATTATATTTAAACACTATTATATAGTTGGGACATCTTATGTTACATGGTTAGGGAATAAGAGAGAAAACAAAGATTTATACACACACACACACAAATGTGTGATAAGTAAACACACACAAAGTTTGTGTATTCTCCAATTCTACTAAAGACACACACAAAACATCATTTTAAATCTTTGGGACCGTAAAGAGGAAATAGACCCATATAATCAGGCATCCCCCATTCCCTGTATATGATCCCTTTAACAGGCCAAAGCCAGGGCAATCTCAATATGAGATTTGGAAGTTCTACTGAGTTACTAAGTCCACTCTGGTGCTTTATGTTTGTTATTTCTTGTGTCTTATTCCCTCCCCCAAGCTCCCCACCCCATTGGTTGCTGCCTCCTTAACTTGGTCTCATTGTCCTCAAATCAGACCTGCAGCTATGGTCCAAAGCATCTCTAAACTTCATTCTCAAATCCACAGGATCCACTGAGGACCCAGCTTGTACTGCTGAGAACTAACCTACCCTCTGAACAAGGAGTCTGATGTTTCTTTGGGATCATTGTTAAGATGCCAGACAAAATAACATGTGAGAGTTTAGTGTAGATCACACAGTCTGATCCGAGGAAGCAATAATCCCTTCTTTTAAATGTGTTTTCTATTCAGTGTCCTCTGTCCAGGTGCTGATCTCCCACTCTAGAAGGAAGAATCAGCAATGGCTGAAGGCACAGGTCTTCCAGGTTCACAGTCCCACTGCTGGGCAATGAAAAAGCCTTGGTGCTGGGTTGTTCTGCCTGAGTGTTTCCTTGGCCAGCATCCCAGATTTGTGGTTCACGGAGCAAGGTCCATACAAGGTCACCATTGCCAGGCTAATTATTGTCTACACTGGGGATATGGCCTGTGAATCCTCTAAATCCATCCACTCTGCACAGTACCCTACTCCTCATGCACACTGCCAACTTTCACATTTCTATGTGCTTCATGTTGAAAGTTACTGACATGCAACACTCAGGAGTAGTGTCAGGGATGGTTGCAAGACTCTGCAGAAGTGAGTAGAATTTCATTAAGAAATATGTGAAGTGGTAAACAAGTGAGTATTTCCCCAAGTTCCAAGGGACAAATGAAACTGAATAATAATTTGAATGATATAAGAAATATGTTTTAGTTATATCAGAAGGACAAACAAAACTGTTACATATCCCATCTCTCCAACCAAAGCATCTTGAGGACAGGGACTTTGTTTTACAGTGTAGGGGTCCCCAGTATATGATAGACACCTGGTAAATACCATTGCAGAATGATAATTTAGGCTAAGAGAATAATTGTTGCTAATTTGGCTACAATTCCCTGGGACCCTGGCACTTTGCCGTAGCTCAGTGGGTCTCAGGTGGACTTGGGGAATTTCTCCTGCTCCCAGGACACAGGAATCCTAGACCCTCGTCGCTGTCCTGGAGATGCTTAGAAATGCCTCAGGGAGGACGGGCGCGGTGGCTCAAGCCTGTAATCACAGCACTTTGAGAGGCCGAGACGGGTGGATCACGAGGTCAGGAGATCGAGACCATCCTGGCTAACACGGTGAAACCCCGTCTCTACTATAAAATACAAAAAACTAGCCGGGCGAGGTGGCGGGCACCTGTAGTCCCAGCTACTCGGGAGGCTGAGGCAGGAGAATGACGTAATCCCTGGAGGCAGAACTTGCAGTGAGCTGAGATCCGGCCACTGCACTCCAGCCTGGGAGACAGAGCGAGACTCCGTCTCAAAAAAAAAAAAAAAAAAAAGCCTCAGGGAACTTAGAACTCCCGTGTTCTTTAGAGAGTCCCCATCATCAGGAGCTAGCCGGTATCCTCAGCAGGGGTCCTCTAAGGCCTCACCACTCCATTCTCAGGGGCCTGGTGGATTCTGGAACTCTGCCAGACTCCAGCAGGACAATGCAAGAGGTCCATGTGAGTGGCATCTGGGCTGACAAACCAGGGGCCACCAATCCTGTCTGATCCCAGCAGTTTTCACACACAGGGAGTTGGGACCCTCTTCTGCTGCCTCTCCCCCAGGGAACCATGGAGGGACAGTGAAGAGAAAGAGAAACAGCTTGAGGTGTGTGAGATTAATGGTACAAACTAGCATGAAGGGTATTTAAGGTAAGACTCATCTTAACAAAATATCTAATCTAGTGATACCAAGAATGATAGCATAGTGGCCGGGCGCGGTGGCTCACGCCTGTAATCCCAGCACTTTGGGAGGCCAAGGCAGACGGATCACCTGAGGTCAGGAGTTCGAGACAGCCTGAAGAACGTGGAGAAACACCATGTCTACCAACAATACAAAAATTAGCCAGGAGTGGTGGCACATGCCTGTAACCCCAGCTGCTTGGGAGGCTGCAGCAGGAGAATCGCTTGAACCCAGGAGACAGAGGTTGTGGTGAGCTGAGATCATGCCATTGTACTTCAGCATGGGCAACAAGAGTGAAACTCTGTCTCAAAAATAAATAAATAAATAAATAAATAAATAAATAAATAAATGAAAAAGAAAAACAGCATAGTAAAGTCATCTGGGGCAATGCTGTTGCATCTCCCCTAGCATCTAGGGAATCCTCAGGCATTGCCCCACCAAGCAACAAAGCCTTTCTGAGGTAGCATGGGGAGTTGTCCACTCAGCAAGAATAGTTTGATCATTTTGCCCAATGATGAAAGGGAAGAAAATTAGGAACTTCTCTGAACTTGCATTTCTCTCTTATATTTTTTATTTTTCTTTGGGATTGTAGAAGCAGTGAAAACTATTTATGCTTTTTCTTTTTCCTACTTATTATTTTGATTGAAATAAATAGGAAAGTTGATAAATAAGAATGTTTTGCTGGAAATACTAAACGTTGATAGCCATAATTACGGAATATTCCAAAGCTTCCATTTTAAAACCTGTTTGCATTTCAGACATGTCTGCACTAAAACAGTTAAGTGGGAAAAAATGACAAACCAATAGAAGCAACGATTCCAGTACCCTTTGACTTTAGGAGTTTCCTACTCAATGGCAACGGCTTGGAAAGAAGATAACTTAGGTCTCATTTCTGGTGTGCATCAACTTTGGGCAAATAAATTACACTCTCCAAGGCTTGGTTTTAACCACTATAAATGTGTATAACAGCAATGACCTCATAATTTTGTGTTAAAAATTAAATAAGATGCCAGGCGCGGTGGCTCACGCCTGTAATCCCAGCACTTTGGGAGGCCAAGGCGGGCGGATCACGAGGTCAGGAGATCAAGACCATCCTGGCTAACATGGTGAAACCCCGTCTCTACTAAAAATACAAAAAATTAGCTGGGCGTGGTGGCGGGCGCCTGTAGTCCCAGCTACTTGGAGGCTGAGGCAGGAGAATGGTGTAAACCCGGGAGGCGGAGCTTGCAGTGAGCTGAGATGGTGCCACTGCACTCCAGCCTGGATGACAGAGCGAGACTCCGTCTCAGGAAAAAAATAAATAAATAAATAAGATATCGTGAGTGTTGATATAGTCACCCATCTCCAGAATTCCTCCTTTGAAAATAGACACACAATAGAACATTCTGCGAACTTAGAAAGGAAGGAAATCATGTCCTCTGCTACTCCATGGATGAACCCTAAGGCTATTGTCTTAAGAGTGAGAGCATGGTCACAAAAAGGAAAATGTCATGTGAATCTACTTAAACAAGTTATCTAAGGTAGCTAAGTTCGTAGAAATAGAAAGTAGAGTGGTGGTTAGTGGGGACTGGGGTGGGGAGGAAAATGGGAGTTGTTTAATGGGTATAGTTTCAGTTCTACAGGATGAGAAAGTTCGGAACATCTGTTTCTCAACAAGGTATTCAATTTTTTTTATTCTTGTTTTAGAGGGATTTAAGGTATGTTTGAGATCAAAAAATTTTAGAAGTACTGGAAAATTGGTATCATCCACTTATGAAGAGCAGTGATATTCTATAATATCCAGCACACTTCTTTCGTCTTTCTGGATTGTACCTCCTGCTGTGTAGCGATAAGTACTTCCTTTCAACAGAGGTGCACCTTTTGTAGTGCCAGGAAAGAAACACATTTTCTCTTCACCCTTAGGTTCACCAACTGGGAGGCTCTGCAAGTTTGACTCACAAGAGACTGATTAGCAGGAGAAAATAGTAGAAAGTTTACTAATATTTTATATACACAGGAGTTCACAGAAAGGAAGGAAAAGTCAAAGAAACGGCTAAACTCAGAGGCTTATGTGCCATTTTAACAAAGGAAAGAGGGTTTGGGCTTTGAGGAATGATTAATTGTGGAAAAGTGACTAGGAAAACTGTGTGGAAACTAATGGATTATCGTGCTAATTTAGGGAGGCTTGTTTATGCAGACTCATCTTGGTGTTGGTTCTCTGTCCCTGGTAACAAGAGTCCCCTCTCCTCATCCTGGTACAGGAGAGGGGGAAATCCATGCCACCTTAACGAGGGGAAATTTATGCCCAGGTTTTAGGCATCCGAGGGGAGAGCAGAGAAACAATCTTCTATCCATTGACTTTTATTGCTTTACACTCAACATAATCCTTAAACTAAAGTAGCATGCTCTGGGGCGAGGGGGATGGGGGCGCCGTGTCACGGTGGTTTTCACAAGCTGGATGCTGATTCTTCTCTGGATGCTCACGAGTGTCCTTCTTAAAATGTCATCCTTCGCCCCCTAGGCTCAAGCACAATATTCCAGACATGTCCCCATGAAAGAGGCATTAACAGCACTATCTCCTCCTTTATCTTGCTTTTTAATGTCATTATTACAAACTTTTTAAGTGGCCAAATCATGCTGATAACCATCTCAAAGTGACCAGCAACCAAAAACTAAGGTTTTTTTTTTTTTTTTTAAGGCCACTACTAAACCATTTCTACTTTTTTCTCATAGTTGCATCACATATGGCTACATGTATTTTTGCTTTATTTTTGTTACTTTTCTATTTTTATTTTTTCTGACTTTTTGGCTACACATATTTTTAGATACAATTTGACACACACATATATATATTTAATCTCAACATAAAGCTTTACATTTACACACAATAAAATGTATTCTATTAGTTTTAAACTTTCTAGGGTTTGGAAGTCTTCTTCTTTCTACCTTGCTGTTTAAAATTGATTCTTGTATCCATAGTGCATGACCTCTGTCAAGGGCATCTGTTGTTCTGCCTCCCTGGTGAAGCCATCCTGGTTTCCTGTGGAGCATTGCTCTTCACAGAGCAAGCCGTGTGCTGC